CGCCCAGCAACTTTTTTTTTTTTAAAGTAAAGTTCCGATCTCGGAGTCCCCGGCCCCAAATATAAGGCCTATGGCTCCGTTACCGGAGCCCCCGGCACGAAGTGGTTAATGTGTATGCATAGTCAGTAAGGATGGCAGATACAGAAACCACTCATGCACACCATTCTGACAAAACAGGTGTTCACTTTGTCATTGGTTGTTTAAAATGTTGTCCATTCATGGGTCATTTTTGCTTGGTGGAGAGTGCTTTTGTGTGATTTTTTACGTGTGGCCTTTGACAGAAGTGGTAAGTTTCTTTTACTGCCCAGTGTAGATTCAAGGAACAGGATCCTAAATTGCTTCCTTGTGAATTTTAAGGTATATGAAACAGTTTCATTCAAAGAGTATGTAAACTTTCAACTACGGCTGTCCCTACATGGACAATGGAAAGCACACACAATAACTGCAACCGTCCAGTGACTTCACTCTGTTTTGTCTCTTCCCTCTGCCTTGATGTGGTCCCAGATCACCTCATATCCCACGGTCGCATGACAGAGAGGGAAGCCAGACAGAAGTTCAAGCAGATTGTCGCAGCCGTCCACTATTGCCACTGTAGAAACATTGTACATAGAGACCTCAAGGCCGAGAACTTATTATTAGATGCCAATAAGAATGTCAAGATAGCAGGTAAGTGTTTTAAACCATTGTCTGCCGAGAAGCCCCGGTTTTGGGCTCATACCGGTAGGCTTTATACGTGAAACTAGGAGCCCGAAATCAGACAAAAGAGCTGGGCCATATAACAAAAGACCGTACTCGGAACAAACACTGAACTGCTGGGAATTGCCAACATTTTTTCAGTTGTCAATAGCGGAGGAAATCCGTCACTGTTTTGAAAGATTATACCACTCTTTGTGGCATTCAGCGTGAGCAGATTATTAATTATGTGATTACAAAATTGCATTCTTTAAGCGTCGGCAGTAAACTTAAAGCTGAAATGGTACTTATACTAAACAGGAAGGCCAAAATGATTTCTTTTTATCAAGTTTTTCTCATTATAGCTCTTTGTCTTTGTTTCTGCTGCTGTTGCAATTTGGTACTGGTACAGCCAAATGTACCAATATTCAATCAAGTGAAAGATCCAAATTTAAATATTCAAATTTGCCAATATTCAGTAAGAATGGAAGGTGAACTATTTGAATATTCAGTTATTCAAATTGACTGAGCCCTTTTGTTTTGGTCTGATTCATTGATTCTCTTCTTGGCTCTGTCCCTCCTGTGGTATATTGTTTTTCCAGATTTTGGGTTTAGCAATTTTTTTGAGAAGGGTCAGTTGCTGAAGACGTGGTGTGGGAGTCCGCCCTATGCCGCCCCTGAGCTCTTTGAGGGCCGGGAATATAACGGACCAAAGGCCGATGTCTGGGTGAGTACTAGTGAGGGGGGGAGGCATTTAAAAAGGTTTAGAAAGTGAAAAAGGCTTATTTGACTTATGCGTGTAAATGTAGTTTTACATCACTATGTCATTTTTGGTAACTTAACAGGGAAAAAATTATTTGAAAAGTTGTTTTAGTATACACCAAGCAAACTTGAATTCTCAGTTGTGATTGGTCAATCCACGGACGACAAACAGCGTGACTTAGTAAAACTGTATTGCATGGTTCGTATCAAACCCCTCTTGTTGGGCTCTTCTAATTCAATGCAAGCTGCTATTTTTGTGCAAAGAGCAAAACAGCAAAACGCACAGCTACAAAGTTTACTGGAAATTCAAAGGTGGCCGTTTGCGTGGATAGGTGCTGTGTGTCAAGTTTGCTTGAAGATAAATTCTTTATCACACTCATGCTTGTGGAACTTGAAGTGCATCTGTGATGACAGACACAGTACATTATTTCTATGTTCCACTCGTGCTTGTGGAACTTAAAGTGCATCTGTGATGACAGACACAGTACATTATTTCTATGTTCCACTCGTGCTTGTGGAACTTAAAGTGCATCTGTGATGACAGACACAGTACATTATTTCTATGTTCCACTTGTGCTCGTGTGACAACTACATGTATCAGCATGCACCATTTTCAGTTGGTATTAAGTACATGTAGGTATCTGGTTCCTTGCCACAACCCTGACATGAGTTGACTATGATGTCTAGTCTCCTGATGCCTCCTGATGATGGACAGAGCATACTGTCCGAAACGTTGAGTTCCAGCGGTTCTTTTCAGCACCTCACATACTTAAGAAAGAGATATATCCATGGTGCTACCCCAAACGTATCTAGTTTACTTGCCACTGATACCGTACCTCCACCATGAAAAGCCTCCAATCTCATATGATGTCTTGATGCCTGTTGCCTTTTCTGAATTCATCCATCCTTTCCTGCAGAGTCTTGGAGTCGTCTTGTATGTACTAGTATCGGGTGCTCTGCCTTTCGATGGGCCAACGTTACAGGGTCTGCGATCGCGAGTGCTGTCCGGACAGTTTAGGGTACCTTTCTTTATGAGTCCAGGTAAGATGTCCCCTTGACTCCAAAGGCCGGTCGGGTTCACACTTCAGGCAGATGCGAAATTGAAGCAAATTTGACATTACGAGATGTCTGCCGGGGGATTTGATTGAGTTTAAATGAGGATAGCTTTTTAAGTACACAGTGCAAATGTTTGATCCGACACCTCAGAATCGCATTTGTGTTCTATTTGGCACAAAGTGTGAGCTAGCCTTCAAAGACCTTTGTATTTTTGGAAAAAAAAATTGGATTCTCCCTCAATCCTCCGAAATCCTCCAAAATTTCTTGAAAATGTTACTTGGAGGTGTGCCTACTGCCTCAATCCTTCAAAATCCTCCAGCAATTCCTGTCATTATGTTGAGGCAGTGCGAATGGCATTCTTGAGCAGTGCGGCTGATTCAAAAGAAATATCGGGCTGAATTTATGCATGACTAAGCAAAAACCCACAACTAACCCACAACCTTCATGCATGGCATCCTTTGCAATCAGCCATGCACTTTTGCTATTCACCTTCAATCCTCCAAAATCCTCTAAAACCGTCCGAAGGATTTTGGAGGGTTAGGGTTGATGTAAAGATACTCATTAAACAAAAAGTATCCAAATCTGTTGACAGATTTTCTCAAATGTTTGAATGGAACCGCCCCTTTTTGACGTTTGATGTTTCAATTGATTAATCTTGTGTTCATTTTTATTGTAATCGATTCCTGTAAAATGTAATCTGAGTTGTAGAACATTTCACTGCTTGGTTTGGGACGTTTACAGGATTAAATGGTATGAGAAAGTTTCCTAAAGGTTTTTCAAATTTAACGTAAATTCCCACCCTTAATTGCTGCCCAGTTCTGCATCATCATGTGTGCTGTGTGTGCGCTAAATGGAAAGTCTCCCTCCAGCATATCTCTTCGTTGCTGGTGAGGGGAGTGCTTCCGGTCAACTGGACTTGAAAGTGCACCCTCGCCAGCAAAGAAGAGACAGGCTAAGGGGAAGTTTTCCTCCCGGGGTCGTGCACAGCTCGTTGCAAACGTGCAGACTGTACATTCAAATGGAAAGAGGCTGCACTCGCTCAGCACGACCGATATTAAATGTGCACCAACCTGTGAGAACATGCAGTGGGGAGACTCTGGTTATTGTCTGTAACAAAACATGTCCTCTCCTGTTCCCGCTTGGGGTGATCTTGGGTACCTAATATATTGATACAAAGGGCCAGGCATATAATGATTTCACGACGGTCAGGCTGTGACTTTACTCCCTCGCAGAGTGTGAACAGCTCATACGCCACATGCTGGTGCTGGACCCCAACAAGCGCTACAGCACGGAGCAGATTCTCAACCACAAGTGGACCAAGACGGGCGAGCCCGACGCCAGCTTTGAGGACATGATCGCCGAGTACGACCAGCGGGCGGGCACGGTCAACGGGCCGGATCCCATCAACGAGCCCATCGTTCAGCACATGGTGTCCCTAGGCATCGAGCGGGACCTCATACTACAGGTTGGTTCCGGGGTACACGACGCATGATACCCAGCACGATATGTGGTAAAGGGGATCCCTCCCTAATGTGATGCAAAAAGCTGTATACCCTAAGGCTATTTTGCCCACTGCACCCCCCTCGGAAATTGGAAAGGAATTCCAAAGATTCCATCAACACAAAAGAAGACACAAAGGGGGGGTCCCCCTTTGCCGCATATCGTGCATCCAATGCGACATATGAACCCTATGTCACAACACTGCACTGCAGGAAAAATCTTGTTCAGCAAATATATCTCTTGAGACCATAATTAATCATTATACATGTACATGCTTTTTGGGGTCTTGTTTTCTGTCAGGGTCATATACAACATATGCTTGATTTCGGTACATTATCTGTTTTTGCTATTAAAGTTTTAGGGAGTCATCCCAGTACACTATTCCTTGTTCCCTGAGCACGGATCTGTATACTGAATTTACTAGTATCTTCAAGCAAACCTGATGTACATTTACTGGTACACTTGCCACGTTTCACTTTTTAACTGTGTTGTCCTCCAACATCTTCTGGGTGGTTTTGAAGGATTTTGGACAATTTAAGTTTCATGTCAGAATTGCATTGCCGATCGTGAAGGTTGAAATGTGTCAAGGTCTTGGGTCAACCCTCAACGGAACCATATTCAAGAAACACCAGAAGATTTTGGAGGATTGGGGCTGTATCCAAGTTTTCCGTGGGGGCAGTTGCAGGATTTTGCAGGGTGGAGGGTGTGTCCTAGCCAAAAGGGCCGAGGGGTTGGGGTTAATTTATGCTAATGCATGCACTCCGTAACATCCGTTATTAGACAACAAATATAATAGCTTGATCTTGCCTCGGGGGATTTCAGATTCCTTCCAACTGATAATGGTCACTGAATGTTCTTACAGTCCTTGAACGGCAAAAGCTTTGACCAATTCAGTGCAATCTACCACCTCTTCCTGGACAAGTTAAAACGACATCAAAAGTCCAACTCCCATCCAGCCGAGGGCAGCCGCGCGGCCCCTGCCACGGCCACCAGTCCGTCCCTGTCGCCTAGCGAGGGCAGCACGCCAGACGCAGTGGCATCCATGTCCTCGGTCGCCTCGCTGTCGTCGGGCGGGGGGAGAAGGCAGGGTCTGTTGCCTGGAGCTATACCACAGGTGCGCTTCACCAACGAGAATGACCAGATTATCATACAGGTGAGAGTAACAATAATGACATACCAAAAAAAATCGGAACATTCCGATTCTTGTAAAAAGGAGCAAACACAAAGAAGAACGTTCCATCAAAGGAAGGCACAATTTGAAGAAAAATGTGGGTGCTGTTTGGTTTGTCAAAGTGGCAGTTGCTACCCGTTCACACATGTAAACATGTAAATTGCTTCTCTGGCGTGGCTGCTTGTTTTTTCTATCGGCTGGTAATAAGGGTGTTCCGATTTCTGACTTGTCAGTGTTGGCAGGTATGGATCACCCCGGATAGGGCTGTTGTGTGACATTGCTTCATAAAGGTGAAATGAAAGCATGAACCATGATTTCAGTGGATGTGCAGTTTACAAGCGACGTGCATTTGAAAGACTGGATAAGAAGGCAGAAAGATTTTGTTGCTGATCGTGCCAGAAGACGAACAAACAAACTTCTGAAATGTTAGGTGAACTGTTTGTTCCCAGGATGATACATTCGAGGAAAGACTTTGGTACACTTGGGGACACTCGTGAACCGGGTCGCTTTAACCACCTCTGAGGAGAACTTGGCTGTTTTCCAATACTCAATTTCGTCTGCGTCTCGGGCTTCGTTCCAAAAAGCAATCCCCGATTGTGGGCCTGAAGCGTTTAAATTACATTGGATTACTGTAATTTTTGGCTTTCTTGCATCTTATTTGATATCCTGTGGCATTATCAGACTGATTACTTCGCTTACAGCTTCAAAGTCAGCTAGTAAAAAAAACAGTTGAAGCCTGAGACGGAGCCGAAGTTGGGTATTGGAAAACGGCCTATGTGAACATGATCTGGCTGCGTGTATACACAAAGCACAGCTGACAGGTGAATGCATCAGGCATGCCTTACCTACTCTGCCGTTTGTTTTGTACGAATATATAGTCTGTGGAGGCAGACCATGCCTTCAATCTGAACTTGGCTTCTGATTAGGACCTGGTGTGGTATCAAATATCACTCTGCTGATGCTTTGGAGAGCATTGAGAGTAGTGAGGTTGTGGTGAGGAATACTGTACTGAGGAATACTGCTTCAATGACATGAATGAGTCATTGTGTACAGTGTTTGGCTGTCGGACCAAAGACTGGCCGCTGTGTCTTGCCTTTGTTCAAGAGTCTAAGTTTTGAGTCAAAATGATATCATTTATACATGCGTGTGTCAGTGTGGGTGGTCAATCACTGTCCATAGTGCAAATGATCTTGATACATTTTAGCTTGATAATAGTCTTTAATTATTTGTACATGTATGTGATTGAGTATTTTAGGCTCTCACTTGACCCTGTTACACTTAGACTGACCAGCCAGTGGACGTGGACAGTGACCCGGAGGAGCCCTCTCCCGAGGCTCTGGCCCGCTACCTCCAGATGCGCAGACACACTCTGGGCCTGGCTGACCCCAGCCAGGAGATCCCGGACAACCTGAAGATGAAGCTGTTGCCCGCCCAGCACGCCCAGCCCAGCACCGAGGGCGGCGCCCTGGGCCAGCACCCCCCACCCACCTTGACGCCTGTGGTCCTCAACACCAACCTGCCTATGAACTTGCCACTGATGACCGGTTTTAACCAGCCAGAGCAGCCGGTTACGTATAAGGTGAGATTGGGGGGAGAACAGGCTGCGTTTGGACGGGGTGAAGTGGGCAAACTGGCTGGGTGTCAAGGGTGTGAGATGCAGAGTAGGCCCAGCGTTGGAGAGAAGGGTTGGTGGGGCATGGGAACTGGCCAGGTGTCAAGTTTGTAAGATGAGATTTCCAAATGTTGGTATTAAAATGGGAGGGGGGCTGAGTGGGGTCAGAGGGGGTGAAACAGGCAAGCTGCTGGGGACTGATGGGTTTAAGATGGGGAAGTGGATAGTGTGAGTAATAAAATGGAGAACCGACTTGGTTGGAAGAGGGTAAAGCAGGGGAACTTGCCGACTGGGTGGTAAGGTTATGAAATGGGGAAGGTGGGCCAGTGTTGGTAGTATGGGGGACTCAAAAGGTTGGAAGGGGTGAAACAGGGTAACCTGCTGGTTGGGTGTTAAGCTGGTAAGGTGGGTGGGTACAGTAAATGGGTGAACAGACTGATTCGAAGGGGTAAGTAGGAACTAGCAGAGCTTGAAGGGGGGGGGCCTTGGATTTAAAGCAGGGTTTAGTCCCATATGAAGAGGTTAGATGAAGCTAAACTTGGCTGGGACCCGGAGAAGGTACAAGTGATAGGACACAAGGCAAGTTTGGGGAAGTATGGTGGAGGAACTGAAGGGGGAAGGAAGTATGGTGGAGGAACTGTAGGAGGAAGGCAGTATGTTGGAGGAACTGAAGGGGGAGGGAAGTATGGTGGAGGAACTGAAGGGGGAGGGAAGTATGGTGGAGGAACTGAAGGGGGAAGGAAGTG